GGGGCAATGCCCCGGTTGTTTTTTCGGTATAATAAAAAATATTCGAAAAATACCTCAATATCGGTTGCACAGACTGTCTACACTAGCCATATTCTCCCGACATGGTTCATTTTTCGCTCGCAAAGCCTTCGCCGAACGTCGACGGGGCGACGCCGATTTTGCCCCGGTTGCTCATTGTATATCGTATTCTCTCTTTTATCTTCCACTCGCCGCGTTTGTCTCGTTTGTTTTCTGTTTCTTTTACTAAATCATCGGGGTCGATCGGGGCTAGCCCCGAAATTATGACGACACAATGCCGACGTTTCTTACAACAACGTGTTGACATATTCACGCATTCCTTCTCGTTCGTTGGTTGCTTGAAGATTGATAAATTCCTCGCCTTCGTTTTTGTCGCTTGTTTCGCTATTTGAATCAGTTAGAGACCTTTAGTCCATTTCCTTTCGATTTTCCACATTCCTTTTGAGCTCCTCACTTCTTTCCGGCTTCGCATTTCTTAGCCTTAGACCTCATAATGAATAAGGTTGATACACTACTTCGCACTCCGTTTTCGCAGCTGCCGCTGGAACAAAAATTAGAGGTACAACGTCTTGGGCCTTATCAACCAAAAAATTGTTCACTGGAACAATCCCATGACGGAGGAAAGCGTCGGCGTACATTCTGCGCAGAAACTTGGTATAAAAAATACGAATGGTTGTGTTACAGCGAGGACAAAAATGCACTTTTTTGTTTTTATTGCCTACTTTTTGCTACCGCCCGTGACTCACGTTGGTGTAAATTTGGTTTTAGAGATCTTAAACATCTTTCCGACCGTGCCAGGGATCATCAATCTTCTATGGAGCATCTGGACAATGCAGTAAAATACCGAACATTCGGAAATGGTAATATTGCAGCACAGTTGGATGAAGGACGCGCGGTTTCTATTCGTCGGCACAACCAAAACGTCGAGAAAAACCACCATGTTCTCGGTCGATTGATAGATGTTTTGAAGTTCATTGGTTGTCACGAGCTGTCCCTCCGTGGGCACGATGAACGGGCTGGCTCTTCTAATAGAGGGGTATTTTTGGATATGGTGGAATACACCGCATCCCTAGATACAGTATTGAGAGATCATCTTGATGCCGCAACTGTTTTGAAAGGGACATCTAAGGATATCCAAAATGATTTGCTCGACTCAATGTATAAAATTTATTTACAACATTTGGCTCTGGAAATTGAGAATTGCCAGTTCCTTTCAATTCAGTCTGACGAGACAACTGACATCACGTGCGTTTCCCAACTGGCTGTGATTTTTCGGTTTGTGAAAGATGGTAAACCTACCGAGAGATTTCACAGCTTTGTACCAATCGTTGATCGCACGGCTTGCGGGATATCGGCTGTACTGAAAGAAGTGTCACAGCCTTACAACGCGAAGTCAAAATTGATAGCTCAAACTTATGACGGCGCGGCAGTCATGAGTGGGTCGAAACATGGTGTTCAAGTTTATATAAAAGAATATTTTCCTCATGCGCATTTTTTACATTGTTATGCACACCAATTTAACCTCGTTATTAAAAATATGTGTCTTGATACCCCTCTCGTCCGTATATTTTTTGCAAATGTTTCGGGGTTTTCTTCATTTTTTTCCGTTTCGCCGAAGCGCTCTGACCTCCTTCGCCAGATATGCCGTTCCCAGCTTGTGCACCAACACGTTGGAACTTCCAATCACGCGTGGTGCAGGGCGTGTCCGAAATTAGGTCTGAGCTCATTGAGTGTTTCAATGGCATTCAGAGCTCTCCGGTTTGGGACGAACGCTCTGTGAGGGAGGCGGCAGGTCTAAAGCGTCTGCTAGAAGATGGTGAGTTTTCATTTTTTCTCGCTTTTTTCTCCACAATATTCTATCACGTGGATGTATTATACGGCGCATTGCAGTCAAGGCTAATGGATGGAGCGTCTGTGCAGTCGTGTATTTCAGACTTCTGCGATGCCGTATCTCGTATCCGGGAAACAATAAAATACGACGACACATGAAGTGCTTCTTTACGCCGCGGGCAAACAACGCAGCGTTTGATTTTGTCTGCAAAGGAATGCTGTGACATTCTGGTGAATCAAATAGGCGATCGTCTGCGCACTGAACACCTTGCCGCGTTCTCTTTGATGAACCCCAAAAATTTTTTAAAATTTGCACGTCAATTTCCCATCCATTTGTTGGCTACTGTCTTCAAATTTTACCCCATGATAAACGTGGGTAAATTGGAAAATGAATTGCGATGTATATACACCAGTCAAACTTTTTTGAACATCACATCAACTTGCGCGCTCTATGGGTTCCTCATAGATAACACTCTAGTAACTACCTTTGCGGCGTCTGCAAAATTTCTGGACATCATTTTGACGACGCCTATTTCTTCCGCCGACGCAGAGCGAACATTCAGCACGCTGAAGCGTATTAAAACGTATCTCAGAAACACAATGAAGCAAGATAGATTAAATTCCTTGGCTGTTTTATCCATTCTGGGATGCATGACTTTAATCAGCGCGTTATTGAGCATTTTGCTTCCAAGAAACCGCGGCGTGTTGCATATATGTTCAAGCAGTAGAAGTCTAGCAGCATATATATCTATGAGTGAGCGACGCATGTCCTTATCTTTGCATTACCTTTCCTTTCTTCATAGTAACGTTTTAAACCTTATTTTGGGTTTTGTCTGCTTTCCCGAAGTTTCTGTTAATATGTCATTGTATTAATCTGGGTAAATATTCCCTTCCCTCTTGAAAGAGGTTTCAAAATAAACTATGTCTATATTTATTAATCCCTTGACTTGGACCGGTTTTAAAGACACTTTCTTATCGTTAAAAATTGTCGCTTTTGCTGATTGGTTGTTACCGATGGAATGATTTTTATACTCATAAAATGATGGGAGAGCTTACAGCGCTCATCCTGTCCCCGTAGATGAGGGTGACTTGGTCCCGCAGTAGCTTGCCCCGGTTGTCAAAATGACCACGCGCCGCCACTGGAGTAATGTAAAAATAACATAATATCTTAATTATACAATATTTACTAGGTCAGTACAAATTACGAAGAAGTATGCTATGACTAACGGTATCAAAGGCCTTTTTCAGGTCTAAGAAGGCACAGCAAACATGCTCTCCTTTCTCAAATTTATCATAGATATATTCCGTGAGGTCAATGATGGCGTGGCTTGTTGAATGATTTGTCTGGAAACCGAACTGACATTTATTAATTAATTTATTCTTATCACAAAAGTTACTCAATCTACAATATAAAAGTTTTTCGAAAACAATAGCCAGACATGACAAAATGGAGATAGGTCGATAATTTGATGGATTTAATTTATCGCCTGATTTGTATAATGGAATAACTCTGGCAAGTTTCAGTGCGGATGGAAATATACCTATTCTTATGGACGCGTTGAAGAAGTGTACTAAGATGGGTGAGATTATGTCTGCAATTTTTTTTAAGAGGAATGACGAGATGTTATATGCGCCCGTAGCCTTTCCCTTCTTCAAGGCAAGAATGGTATTGAAGACTTCGGTCACATTTGTTGGTCGCAGATAAATTGATTCCTTGACTGGAGCTTTGAGAAAGCTCATGAAATGTACATTCGTTGAGGGCACATCTGCAATTAAATTCTTCCCAATGTTTGAGAAGAATATATTGAGTTCGGTTGCAATTGTTAATGTGTCATTAGTTTTGAGACCATTTTGGAGTTTCAATTCTGATATTGGGGAGTGGTTTCTGGATTTAATGTTCACAATCTCATTTATTGTCTGCCATGTTTGTTTTATGTCACTTCTATTGCTTTTCATTTTGGACAAATAATGGGCTTGTTTTGATTTTCTAAGTAAGTGAACTAAGATGTTATTGTATTTTTTGTAATGTGTGCGTTGACTTTGAGTGCCATGCAAATAACATTTTTTGTGCATTCTACTCTTTGATTTGATGGATGTATAAATACCATTCGTAATCCAGGGTTTAGATTTTTTAACTTTTTTTTTTTTTTTGCGAGAGCATGGCACCATAGGTGCATGTGTGTTAAGTAAATGATCCAGTGAGGTCATAAAGATGTTGAACACCTCATTGAAGTTATCCGTGGACAGGCATGTCAAAGAAAATCTATTAAATGCATTTTGAGCATCGTTTCTAAATGTTTCTAGACAGAAACAAGACATGTTTCTTTTCTTACGAGATTTAGCCTTGCGAAAAGTTGCATTCGAAAAAGTAAAAGATGACATTACCGGAAAATGATCCGATATGTCATGTTGTATGATATAAGATGAAGAGCATCGATCAATTGCGTTCGTATAAATATGGTCGATTAAAGTATGCGATGTTGGGGTTACTCTTGTCGGGCGCGTTATGATTGGAATGGCTAGATGAGATAGAAGCATGTCAGAGTAACGTGTAGACAAATTATCTTTAGAAAGAAGATTAATATTGAGGTCACCTAAAGGGCTTTTTGAATTTTCTAATTTTGAAAGCGATGAATCCATCACTTCCATGAATTCAGAAAGATCATTGCGGGGATGTTTATAAACAACTCCAACAATGAATTTTTTGGGGTTAACAGAGGATGATTCATTGATCTGTGATTGTAGAAGTATGTGTAACCATAGAAATAAAACAAGGAAAATTGAAATAAAAGTATAGCCTAATCTGGTGCACATACTTCTGGAGCACCAAATTTCCACCCTTCTTGCAACCCTCTCCAAACTAAGCCCATTGGCGCCATACTCTAGATACGCCACTGACAAATATTAATTTATAATGTAATTTTAAAAAATAAATGTGAGAACAAACCAAGTTCCATGAGGCGTCGCAGTGCCACACATGCTGCACACACCGTTCATATCTAAGAACATTGAGGTAAATATGAATAGAATAAAGCCAATAAACACACAAGTTCACCGGTTCTCAACCAGGGAGTCTTTCAATCTAAATATTAAAGTGAAAGTGTCCAGTTTCACACAAACATCCTGATTTTCCTTTTAGTTTTCCCCTTGCAACAAAAATGGGCCATGAAAGAAAAAGGTTGAGCATCACTGCAGTCAGTTGAGGCTCAATCCTCCAGCATCAATTCCATGCATCTGAGACTAATAACTGGCTAACTAATCGCATATTTCAATACTAGACATTTCCAATATCTATTCAGCTATTTGTAACCTGTATCTTTTAATATCTTCTAATGACGACTGAAAAGTAACTCCATCAAAACTATCAAGCAGTAAGCTTTCTGCAATCTGAACAAAACATTTAATATTATGAATTATAATATAACTATTGAAAATGGCTCAAAATTTTCTATAACCTCACCTTCATGACAAATACCCCGCAGCTGGAACCATCAGTTTGTATTGGATGTTTAATTTTTCCACTTTTGAAACATGTAATTGACTCCTTAATTCCCTCACCTTCTCTTAACTGCAGATATTCACTTGAAATAATAAAATCAGGGTAAACAATGGCAAACATAAATTACTGTAATCAAATCTGTCATATTGTTTGAAAATGTATTATACTTAACGCTTCTTTCAGCATCTTGGCTTTCTTCCAGGTTGCTACCGACCGGATCCACTAAATATAATATCCGCCCAGTAACGTTGATCACCTAACAAAAAAATTTCAAATAACTTTCAAGTAGATGATCAAGAGAATGAAAAGCGAAGATGGCAATACTAAAAGTTTCCAATGATTATCATCCACGTTCCATATTACGACATAAATTTCATAGGCCGAGAATGATATCTGAAAATAAATAAGGATCATTTACAAATATGGGATATTTATTAGCAAAAAACTTTATCACAAAAGAGCTCAAACATACATCAAATACTGCAACTTTGTTGATTAGCTCTATTTTATCTACCAAAATATTTCAAAAGAAAAGAAACAGACCTTTGAAAGCAATTGACGGGAAAGAACAGGTCTGTTTCTTCCCAATATCTTTTTGGTCAAAAAGGAGTCTAATATGTAGACTTTCTTTGTGCATCTTGCCGCCAATATTGATAAATATATTTCGATTGCCTATAACGATGAGAAAAAAATATTATTTTAGTAAAATCAAACGCACGCATGGAGTCTACATTGGAGGGATAGCAAATACTTATCCTTTAATTTGTGAGAATTCAGATTTGTTTTCCAGTTATCAATTAGTATAAGCTATTTATTATATTCAGCAGGAAAGATGAAATTTTTCAAAAACATAACATTTTGGGCAAAGCGTGTAAAGTTGACAATACAACTCAGTTCAAAGTCAATACATCGATTAATACAGATTAACAAAACCACAAACTAATAATGAGCATGCTGCCCAAACAGTGAAAACAGAAGACAAAACACAATAGAAAATTATTCACGCCTGAGCGAACATAATAAATGAAGCAAAACGAAAGTGAAAGAATGCAGTGCTTGAAATGAATAAAGTAGAACAGTAACAAATTCACTGTGTTTTATTTTAAGTTTAGGAAAGACGTAATTGTCCGAGGGTAAGCGTTTGAACGAGTCGTTCAGGAGATGCCCCTTTTTGGTAAGAACATCAGCCAATTGTTTTTTCGATTCGACCCAGCTTATGCTGTTGATTTCTTTGTTTTGAATCATCTCCTTCAGCATCCCTATTTCAACTCGTAAGCGTTTGTTGGAAACATTTTTACTGGATCGGAGTGCTTCACATAGTGATCGATTGTCGGTTATGACATCGAGTTGTAGGCTTTTGAGTTTTCCAAAATATATCTCCGCAAACATATCTTTGATAAAAACAGCATTGTCAACTGCGTCTGACAATGACAGTGTTTCCGCTGTGAGAGTACTTTTGGCAACGCGACGAATCCTCTTTGGACTGCCAGCTTAGCAGAGAGCATTCATTATTTTCTCCAACCAAGAACACCAAATTGCCACCTTGGCTTCCACCATCTCTCAGGTTACCATAAGCAGCATCAGCGAAGACGACAATCTTTAATAATTCATCATTTCCTAAATTTTTGTATTTCAATGATAATTGCTGGGTTTTTCAGTCTTCTTATTATCTTGTTTATATAGAGCAAATCTTTTTTCCTTCCCATCTTTAAGGTTAGAAGCAAGCTGACAAACATCATAGCTCACGTCAGGACGTGTCTGATTGCTTGCCCAAAGAAGACGGCCAATATTCGCTCTTAAAATATCTATTTGAGAAGACGAAAGACACTCTGCATCATCTGAGGTCACTTTTATGGTCTCAAGGTTTTTACATACAATTCTTGATTGATCAATATTTCATCGGCTGATTGTTGTATGTCTAGTCCCAAATATTTGAATGCCTCGTTTTTCTCCGAGCTAATTAGAAATGTTGACCTCAGTTTCGAAATCAAATTGTTCTCAAAATACTCTGTGCCAGACCACAGAATATCATCAACATGAATCCCAGCTATTCCTTGTAATTCCCCATTGCAGTATACATAGAATACTGCTGAATCAGATGCTGATACTTTTGCTCCTTGGTCAACGAGAAACTTCTTTAGTCGATTGTACCATTTGAGTGATGCATCACTTAACCCATAAACACATTTGTTTAGTTTCCATAGCTTGGTAGTTCCAGCCTCTTTGGGAGGCTTTAAAAATATTTCTCTATCCACACAATTTCCCTGTAAGAAAGCTGTTTTAATGTCAATCGTATGAAGCTTCCATTTCTTTTGTGCGACAATGGCAATAAGAACCCTGAGTGAATCTTTTGAACAGGTGGGCGATTCTTTAGCAATATCGTCAGTTTGTTCTTCAAAGCCTCTTGCGACAAGTCTGGCTTTGGGAATGATTCCATCTTCAGTATCTTTCATTGAACACACCCATCGTACGGAAATTGTTGGTTGACCAACATTTTCGACTTCATTGTAGACCTTATTTTGTCTCCAGCTTTTCAACTCTGACTTCTTTGCTTCTAGAAAGTCAACATTTTCCAAGACCAACACATCTTCATGAGTGTTTTCATCCATTTCCTTCTCGTTCAGATTTTCCACTTTATCAAAATCTACGTACCCAGATTTTCCTCTAAAACTTTCTGGATTACAATATTCAACATTGTAGCTTTTCCCATATTTCCCGGTTGATTTACCTGCACGACTAAGGATTTTGGCTTCATAGTCTTCACCAGCTAATGTAAAAGAGACAATTTTGCCTTTAGTCAAGTTGAGATTACGTCTGCCACCAGTTGCTGCTTGAACTGGATTGCCAATTGCACTTTGGTCATTATCCATATTTTCAGAATCATTGCTTTCATTTGAAATTTCTGGAACAGACTGTTCCTCATCTTCTATATGATCATTACCATTAGACGAAGCGTCAATTCCATCATTAGAATCTGTTGGAATGCAAACCTCCTTTGTCCGAGGAAAATCCTGAAGATAACGGTTGGCATGCTGGACTCTGCATGAATGTGCTCTGATTAGCTGTCCGCCATGTCGTATAAAAATAACCGGTCCATCTTGCCCAATTACTTTTGCAGGGCCCTTCCAACGTTTTTGATCCTCTCTCTTATAATAAACCTCTTCTCCCGTGAAGAATTCATCCCGAGTCTGTCGGGTTTGTGTTCGTAATGCTCTTCTTATTTTTTCGGAAGATTCTGATTCAATAACTGCTTTCCTGGCAGCTTGCATTGCAAATATATTATTGGCTACAGTGAGACTTATAGATTCACCTTCCAAGGCAGGTGGGTCATCATGAGTAACTGATGGCAAAGTGGGATTCCTTCCAAACACGAGCTGGTTAGGGCTGAAGCCATTGTTATTCACAAGTGAGTTTTTTGCGCTAACAGCCCAAGCAAGTGCAGTTTCCATATCACATTTCTCAGCTGCCTTAACCTTCATCAATGTTTCTGTCAATGTCCTATTGTGTCGCTCGCAGAGTCCATTAGACCACGGTGAGTATGCAGCTGTCGTCGTGAATGTTATATTAAAATTTCCACACATATCTTTGAACACTTCAGAATCAAATTCTCCGCCGTTGTCACTCAGAATACGAGCCGGACTTCCAAAAATGCTGATCCAATTTTGCATGAATTTCTTTACAATTGTTGATGAAAATTTATTTCTCACAATGGCAGCTCTACTGTATCGAGTGAAGTGATCAATCATATGCAAATACCACATATCAGAACCTAGCTGATGTAGATCGACCGCCACTGTTTGATTAAAATCATTTGCCCATGAAAGTCCTACAACTGGACGTGGCGAAGGTTTTTTGTAAACTTTACATATTTCACAATCACTGACTGTTTCTTCAATCAGGCTCGAAAGATCTGCATTCCATTTTCCTGCATTCTGAATGAGCTTCTTTAATTTGTCTTGTGACGCATGGCCGAACTGTTTATGCAATTTTGTAATTTCAGCTTTCCCAAATTCTTTATGCCCAGTGCTTTCTGATGCAAGGATTTCATTACGACAACCAACTTCTGCCTTCATTTTAGGCAGTATATCTACCGCATAATGTCCATTGGTAGATAAATGCAACTTAAGATCTTGCTTGAGCATTACCGCACGATCGTTCTGCATGTCAAGTACAGTGCCTGCACGCTTTAGTGTGCTTTTGCTGAGTAACAATGGCAAGTTTTCTTCATTCACAATTTCAACCTCCATTCTCAGCAACGTTCGGCCAATTTGTACAGGAATTATAGCCTTTTTCTCAGCTTGAATTTCTTTCCCATCTCCAAATTTAAATCTCTTCATTGAGGAAAAATCTCAACTCTGCTCGACAAGTTTTCGTTTAAGAGCCCAAGATAATTCCTGAACCATTTTTTACCAGCTACTGTCTTCGTGCAAGCAGTATCTACTATTGCAGCCTTGGCAGCTTCAACTTCAAAAATATCTGAAGAATTTTCATCTGTTATCAAAACCATTTGTATTTGTTCGCAAACACCATCTTGCGCATCGGAACAATAAACTTGATTCTTCTTATGTGGACATTGTTTGGCCCAGTGCATTTTTGATTCACAAATTGCACATCTAGATATATTTCCGTATTTGTCCCGTGGATTCAGTTGAGCTTTTACTGTCGATTCATGATGCTTGTATCGCTGCTTTGCTCCTCCGCCACTACCGGTGGCGTATCTCGATCTCTCTTTGAAAAATTCTTTCTTAAATTTTGGCCTACCAGTACCGGTATCACGAGTCACAAATGCATTTTCCTTTTTAATATTCGATGCAACATCATCTTCATCAAAATCATAATTCTTTTCATCGCCATCTTGCTTTGAAAGAATCCTTTTTAAGGCTGATTTCATAGATTCGAACTTCAAGTCGCTTCCAACAGTAAGAACCATTTGGCGCTGTTGATCAGTTAGGCCTGCAGCATCTAATATCTTAAAAGCCAGAATGGTATCTGGTAGCTTCATGTCATATTTTACAAGTCTAGCATACCGGTGTTCAAACTCCAGGATAAAATCCACCATTGAAATATCAGAACTTTTCTGATATTTACTAAATAGCGTGTAGGCTAAATAGGCCTCATCAGTTTTCTCTGACTGAAATGCACCATCAAGTTTTCCAAGAAGTTTGTCCAACCCATCATCAGCTTTCAACTGTTCACTAGTTAACTCTGACACAGCTTTCTCAGCTTTATTATTTCCATCAAGCGACTGCAGACGCACCAAAATTGCCTGCTTTTCCTTTGGCACTTCTGTTATGGAAATCCACATGTCCAACTTATTTTTCCA